CTAAAGTGGCATTGAAATAAATTCTATTAACTATCCTTGGAAGGAGCTGAAACATGCTGTCTGGAAACCTAAGACAACTGGAACAGTTTGCTAATGAGGAGTGTACCAAAATACCTGCTGGGAGGTGCAGATGTGTCCTTAACAGCAGTGTTATTTTCATCAACAATGAGGATGATATTATTTTGTTGGTGCTCCTTTTTTCATGACTATAACAAAAACTGATGAGCTAAAAGTTGATCTTTGATGACGAAATCATGAAGAATCGTGTGTGAGTTTTCGTTGACGAGACAAGACTAAATAAAAAAGTTAGCAAGTAGTCTGTCAAATGTTTAAAATGCATCCTTGGTCTGTAATCTGTTCGATTAGCTAAGCAGTATCAGCCATGCTACTGCGTCCTATTTGGTCATACCACCCACCTTGTGTGCAGCACTGCGCATTCTGCAGGACACAGATGGTGAAAAGAAGCCGGAATGGTCTGGTACCTTGCGCTGAACTCTGACAAAATCTGATCTTCCAGCTCCACTTGTGCATCTTTCTTAGACTTTGATAACTTTTCTGCGTGCTTAGCTCAGAGTCGGTGCCAGTGCTCCACAGTGATAGTTCGCTGTCAGCAGTATGGCTCTTCCTGCCCTCGATGCTTAATAAACTATATATGGCTGATCATCCTCTGCCAATTGTAAAAAAACATGTTGTCCAACTATCAGGATTTCATTTCTTCCAGCTCACAAGAGGTAATGCTAAACCTTCTTTCACTTCTACCAAAATGAATGCCTAAATTATATCCAAAGCAACTTTTTATTTTTGCATAAAGACCCAGGTGAAAAGGTACATAGATCTTTGAATATTTCTCTCTCATAGTTCTCATTTCTATCTATTCAAATATAATGCAAATTTTTCATTGTACTATCATTAAAATATTTTCTCTGTTTCCTTTGAATATGTCATTGTTTTAGTTAGCATATCCATTAAATTTAGGTCTGGATTGGCATGGCACTACAAGGCAATTATGTAGGTTCTCTCTGTATCTTTTTTATATCAGAACCCTATGAATTTAAATCAACTTTGACCCCTGAGCAGCAGTAACTGAGGGGCAAATTAAAGAAATAAAGACAGAGTTGACAAAGTAGAAAGAAGGATTTTTTTGTTTTTTTGGAGTAATGATGATTTTTTTTTTTTTATTTGTGTGTAATGCATAGTAGATCAGGAAGTGTTTCCTTTGGGATGGAAACGTTGTACGTGTAAAACTATTCTTTTATTGTACATTTTGTTAGCTTGTCTGTCTGCTATATAAATCAATATGATGTTTTGAACTAGATCTGCTATTTTCACAACTTTTGTGAGACACTTTTGTATAAAGTAGGGAATTAATTCATAAAAAAGTTTATTTGAATTCTATACATTTTTGTAACCTTGTCTCTTTTCCTGTCAGACCCATGACTTTGCAGCTGAAGTGTTGCATGGTAAAACTTAAATAAACCTAGGGTCTGTCACAGTTGAAGCTACGCTATCTCCCTTGCAAAAAATCGTTTTTGGTGCGATCATCCACATTGACACTCAATGAGCACTAAATGCTACGACATTGTATGACAAAAATTTCTGTCCAAAGAAATCTGAATATAAGATTTGGCGCTATCAGGGATTTACTGTCTTTACAGTGGCTTAGCAGAGACATCTGCCAGAAGCTGCCACAAAGTCACCAACATCTGCAGGAAGGGTGCCAGAAGCTGCCAAGGCCGCTACCAGAGGTTACCTCATGCATGAGGTTGTCAGTGACTGTTACAAGCTGCAAGAGGCTGCTAAGGCAGCTGCAAATAGGCTTTTTGAGAGTGCCAAAGGCTGCCAGTAGCTCCCAAAGGCTCCTATTGGGATTCCAGAGGCTGCAGAGGCAGCTGACAAAAGAGGCAAGCCATGGCGTTACCAGACTAGAAAGTCAAAGATGGTGACACCTTGGCTGATTGTCATTACATTTAGCTTGTGTGTTATTCAATATTTACTTTAAAATTATGATTCATTACTGTATATGATTTAAGAAACAATGTTAAGCAGGTACTATAAGGTGAGTGCACATGCTTCAGGTTAAAAGCTAAAGAAAAAAAAGCTATACTGTCAAATAGTGTGTTACATGTAAGAGGAATCAGCTTTGGTGCTACAGAGCTAAACAGACAACAAGAGATTTGACATGAATAAATATGGAAATATACTGTGTTGAATAGACAAATACCAATTGTATAGAAATAACACCGTAGCTTTTAGTAAAACTACAATAATTGCAAAATGAAATCAAACAACATAGCTTTTACATGTGCTGAGATATTTGTATTTTCTGCAAGGGGAAACCTACTATTTTATTTATATGTGCAAATAAAGCTCTAGCCTGTTACTTAGTTGCTACTTGCAGATGATGAAGATGGAGTCTGGCTGTTATTTAATAAACGATGTTAAACCTAAATTTCAAAGCACTGCAATTAGTTCAGAGTATTGACAGACATACTAAGGTGACCTCTTTTGTTTCGAAGTCTGTAGCTCATTTTCGATCTGCGAAGTTTATTTTTGGCACCTAAAAGGTTTTTATTTTGTTTGATTGCACATTGTGTGACTTTTTTTTAAGATAATCAGTTTGAATCCAATAACAGCTCCGATATTGTTCAAATGGTCTGTTAAAAAGTTAGTTTGGCTTAAACATCTGTAGCAATAATAACAGGTAAAATAATTCATATTCAATACCCGCTCCAAACTTTCTCTTTTTCCACAAGAAAGCACTATTTTTCAAACAGCCGGGCTGCAGCTAATTGGTGCCTAAAAACAACTTATATAGGTAGAAATATACCTCTCATAGTGCTAAAAATAGATAAGATACAGAGGGTAAAATGGAAGCTGTGCCGGAAGCTGTGCTGTAAAGAATTGGGAGACGTCCAGTTGAACTTTTTACTTTTGTCACTAAAAAAAAAAGACTATTACAGTAATCTGTTGTCAGTTCTTTTTGTGGGTAATAATTCACAGTAAACAGTCATATTCTGTAATCAATCAACTGTTTTTGAAATGTCTTTTTGTTCATTCATTTAACATGTCACAGATACACATAGCATCAAAGACTAAGTTTTCAACTCAAGTGAATGCAGTCACGTTATATTATTGGTTGACAGTTTAATGAATAACCGTTAATGACATCATCATTCGAAACTAATTGCTGCTTTACTTATTGGCAGCCCATTTGCTGGTAGTCAATGTTGGCTGCCACCGCATGAGCAGCAGCTGCTGGGGTAGTATTGTAAAGGTCCTGGACTCCTCTGGTAGCCTCTGGCTGCTGCCTCTGTAGAACAGAAGTGCCATAGATGCTTCTGCCATCAACTGAGCCCAGTCCTGCTGGGTTTTTGGGTGAAATTCGACGTTCGCTGTGTATTTGCTACTGCAGGCTACTGTACAAAAACCTAACACTGAGCGATTTTCAATTTTACCCCGCAAGATTTCAAGCACGTGGTTATGCTGGGGTGGATAATAGCTTTAACTTTTTGAACTATTAAACTGCTTTAACAGTTTGTCCAACAGCATGTATATATTCTACTTGTGGAAATTGTGCATTTTCGGTGAAATTTTCTTTAAGCCTTCAAAGAATCATTAGAGAATAATTCTGAAATTTGTCTGAAGAGTCCATTGTCCAAATTATATGTGGCCTTTAGGGAATTCTTAGAAAATGTTTCCTAAAGGTTACTCCATGACAGTTTTAAATACACTCAAGGGAAGCTTTAGGAACATTCCCTGTAGCTTCCAGAAGGTCATTCTGTCATTGTCTGAATAACCTGCATGGAAACTTTGGGGAACTTTTGACAGAATACCATGGAAGCTTTAAAAACAAACTGACCTATCTGCATCAACTGCCTGCAACAAATTCGTATTATTTCTCAGATGTGTTTAGAAGCCTTTAGAGATGGATAATCCAGGTCCAGAAAGTAAAAAAGCTGCCTTGTTTTCCTTCATCCTGTTTAATTAAACAGCTGATCAGCTCCTCAGGGTATTTGTTTGCATTGTGGAGCCAGAAATGCAAATGGTTGGAACTGTTCCCGAACAGGTCTTTTACTTTTTTAAGCCATCCCAGCATTATGAAGTGCATGGTCTCTAAAGGATGCATTTCAAAAAGTAAAGAACTTAGAGGAAAGATTTAGTAAATACTCTTGGAAGTTCTCTAAATTTTATTTTGCCAAACTTTTACATAATCTTTAGGCAAACCTAGGATAATTTAATCAAGAATACCAGCAAAAGTATAGCTAAAATATATTTTATGGTTCTTAAATCTTTTAATTCCAGGTGTCTAACATTTTTTATATGAAGTTTAAACGGGATTTCTGCACAGCTGTAAAGTGCACCGTTTTCCAGTGTCATAAATTCTTACTCTGGGATTTTCTCTAGGACTACGATTCCTCATTTCTAAAAACAGAAATGCTTTAATTTTTTATGGAGACTTGGCATTATTGTGAATGAACTGCAGATTGATGCTCACATATCTTTGTTATAGGAGAATTAAAAGATTCAACCATGGTGTACCTCCAAGTTCACTCACTGACTACAAGAGACCAGATTTTGTGGTTACAAAAAAGGTATTGAAAGAATTGCTGATTTTCCCACATTTAGAGAACATAAAGTGCACCACCTTTAGGAGATATTGAAAACTGCAGCTGATTTCATACTAGATCCCTTTTTAAAAAGGCATTATTGGACCAAAATACAGGTCTATTTTACACAGTATGATTTGGACCAGGCTGAGAATAATCAACAGCTTTCTGGCTCTATGCAACAGGACAGTGATTTATTCAACTAGTCACTTTTAAAATCTTTTAGTTTTAATGGTGGCTCAGATAGAGTATTGTTGGTTAATTACATGCATATGTCCCTTTATTAAAATGTGAATGGCTAAAACAGCTGCTAATCAATTTGAATATTATAAAGTCTTGCTTAGTAAAGTTCAATTACAGCCAGTGATTTAAGATAGAAGAAAAACAATATGAAAAGGTTTGAGGTTTTTAATAATCATCAACACATTTATATACAAAGCAAGCAACAATATCATGTTCAAATAAAAGAAACAAAATAATCCTAAAATGTTATAACAGTTATAACAAGACATTGTACAGAGCAAGTATAATTAATGTTGACAAAAATCAAAGATCATTTTCTACGGTTTACCAAAAAGGGGCATGAATGTGAAAAAAGTGAATGGAATCACAATAACACGCCCCTCCAATGAAGAAAATTATGACGATATCTTATTATAATAAGCACACACTTGTCCCTTACAGTTTATGAGCACCAATTGGTCTTTGTTCTTCAATTATTCAATGGGGCAAATAAGCGCGTGAAAGCAAGAGGATGAGTTTACAGCATTACCAGATTTAGGGGTTAAATTGTTCGGGCTTGTTGGGGTCTTCCATTTAAATCTACCAGATATCTGAATACAAAGCAGGAAGGTGTATGCATGTCCTGCACCTATTGTTACACCATTAATGCAAGCATCTTAGTATCCTGATTGTCAAAACCATTTCACAGTGGCGCACTTCAGGATACCCTCGGCTTCCTGTTTTAGAAAAAAACAGATTAAGAAAGAAAATGACTAAAAGTCAAACCCACAACTGAATGGATCTAAAACTATAAACCTGTATTAATAGGACAAAAGGTAATTGCCTGTTGAGCACATCTTAATGGTATTTTCTTTAGGTTCAGAAACAAAAAAGCAGAGAAAAAAAAAACAACTTGATCTTGGGGGTTTTGCGTCACATCCATTTATCAGTATCTGCGATATTCATATCTACTGTCCCTCCCAGTGCCTGAAATGATGCAATCACAGGGATCCGATATAACTCTAGGTCATTTTCAAACACACCCTATGAGTATGTGCAGCAAATCACATTCAGAAACAGATATCCCAACAAAGCCCTCATCAAATAGCAAATCAAACATGAGATTGGTGCTGTAACAGTAGACGTAATTTACACACAACCAGGGTAGCAGTTAAGCTTTTCTTTTTTTCCTTCAGCCATTAATATTCTGAAATTTTCTAAAAGTGATCTTTGCATCCTGACTTTCTCTAAAGTGTGTACCTAATTTTTATAAAGACATTACAAATGAGGATCTACTAACTTTAACTTATTCTGCTTTATATGATCATAAAACCAGGGGCTACAGATAACTGAAAAGAGTACAGAAAAATAAAGAATAGACTGTTTAACACAATCCTAAAAAAAACATTAAAGGTAAAGCGGTGTTTGAGAAATTTGGAGCATATACAAAAGCATTGCCCCACGGGTTAGTTTGGGTAGTTTCTTCTTCGGGTTTTCTAACGGTCTTGCGTAGGTGAGAAGCTGCATTGTTGAGATGGTGGTGAAAGACTTCAATACAAACATTAAAACTCACTGTACAGTCATACAACTGCGCACCTCAGTGCCTCCTGTTTTCTCAGTGGTATAACAGGTGAAAATCTGCAAGTCTCTGGCTCTCATACAAAGAAAACAACAAAACAAGGAGCAGTGCCAGGCAGTTGGCCTTGCCGACGCTCCTATATTTTATAGCTGCAACAACCAGGGTGCTTTTCCACTCTGTCAGATCATCTGGTTGACAGAGAGAACTGGGGAAAGAAGGTCCTTAAGAGAATCCTACATTTTACCTCAGTCATTCAAAGGAGGTGGCTGTAAATAGGAAAGAAAATAAAAAAGGTACTTTAGTCATTGGAAAATATAAATTTAAAAAGAAATGTTTGATGGCATACAAGAAGTATTTAAAGGGTGTTAGCATTTAAACTTAACAGTAGAAATCCTAGCCACATTCAACATATATAAATGATTCAGAAGCAAAAGCTGGATAAAGGCAAAAGTGACAAAGCTTGGACAAAAAGGTGAATCTATACAGAAAAATTGTTCAATATGTTCTGATTTTATCTGAAAACTTTGGACCACTGACCCACATTACAGTCATTTTCTGTCTCCTGATTAGATGCTTATTTGGATTTCAACCATTGAAAATGATTCTAAATGAAGAACTGATGCAGAGTCAACGATACGCTACAGATTCAATCCAATAACCTTTAATATATAAAAAGATGCTTAAATTATATTCTTTGAACCTACAAAAAATATCTAATATACTAGAAATATATTTTTCTTTACATTTAATGTAGATTATTGTGGTTTACGGATCAAAACACTAATATTCAGTTTTTCAAATCCTATATTCAAAATAAGGAAATATCTATTTTTCAGTCATTTACTGGGCCCGCACAAGTAAATCAGTACCAGTAAAAAAATCTTTTTTTTACTTAAATCATTGCTGGAATACACATACCTGTTATCACCTATAGGTGGCAGTAATGCAGGGGATACAGCTTTAACTGATCAAGCCAAGTATAAAGATGAATTTAAATCATCCCAACAATAAATAATGGCTTTGGGACTAGTGGTTCTTACAGTTGTTAGTAGCATGAAAACTATTAAAAACATTAAATTTCTGCACATTTCAATCAGAGAAGCAGCTGGCAGTCATTGGGTGAAGATCGATACGGAGACTACAGCATGGCCTTGCAGTTAATTGCCAAAAATATGAAGAGGACCGGCAGTTGAAACAATAATAGGTAGCTCTCAGGTTTAGTTCTATACATTATTAATCTGAGACTGCTCTCATTTTTCAAGCTAATTAGGCGAAGCAACACCTAGTGTCCATCTACCAAAGTGTGGTTTTAGCCAATCATGGTAACAAATGAAACAAAAACTGACAACACAACTTATGTTTTCTCGTTCATGCTGTTTCAAACATAAAACCGTGGAGTCTGATAAAACAGTAGAAGAAGCTCCTGTGTAGTTCAGCTGTGGGCTTGGCGGCTCTTACTTTCATCTGGGCTATATGTGCTAACCCATTTTGCGTCAACTTGAACGATTCAGTCTAGAGTGGTACAAAATGGATTCTTGTGTGCTTGTGAAGTTGCATATATAGAGAGATTTTAGCTTGTAAGTTGCACACAGAACTTGACAGCTTGTGCACCATTTGGAGAACAAATGGCATAAGTGTGAAAGAAGCTTCAATGAATTCAACAGCTCCATGGAATACTGTAAATGGTATTTTTTGGGTTACGTTTTGCCATGGGTAGTCTAACTAAATAAAGCCGAGAAAGAAACCATGCACACAGGTCATGGCTTTTAAATAGAAATTCAGGATCTTGTAAAAGAAAGTAAAATCTAATAGGATGTCTTTTTTTCATAGCTTTTCTAGCTCACTGAACCAAGAGGGGATACATTATAAAATGAGTCATGCAAAGCACTAACTCTATATATGAGGAAAGTTATGTCACTTCAATGCAGCACAGTGTTCGCAACTAATAAAGATGTGCAAGTGAACCATCAGTTTTACTGTGGTGCCATTTTATGGTTTACAACCTCTATACGTGATGCTGCTTTGTCCCACATTATTTATTCTCCACTCATATTGTGTCTGTTTAAAAACACAGGTGAGTTTAGAGATTGTAGCTAAAATAAATTCCGGAAAATGTGAATCAGGTGAATTTCAGCTCTTTCTCTCTGAATGATAACATATTTGTGTGTTAGACACATTAGCAGAGGTGTTTATTGATTACTACACAACCCACTGTGTGGCGCTGCTGGGTGTTTAAATCAGTGAAAAGCAGTTAACTGTGATCTGAACATGGGAGGAATTTAACGCCTTATGTAAATTGTTGTTGTTAGGTTTAACTTTCATCTCAAGGATGCATATTCATACAGGTCTAAAGAGATGAGATTTTAGAGCCCTTTGGGTACCTATTCCTACTTTATTGACCAAGGTATCATTGTTTCTGACTAGTCAGCAAGGTCACTTGACCTAAATTCCAGAGGGAGCCTGTAAGGCAGTGTGACCAGAAAGAGAAGGGATACAATGCAGATAAATTGAAGGCTAGAATAAATTCACCTTGCGCTTCTTTAACATCTTAGCAGAACCAGACAAATGCTTCCTTATTGCACATAGATACACTTTCAGTTGGCCATCATTTCTGTATTAAGATCTTGTTTGATCTGTTTTATGTTATATTGGAAGTTTTCGTAAAACTGAAGTTTTTTTATTGACAATAAATCAGAATCTTATAACTAACATAAGTAGAGACACACTGTGTATAATAATCTATAAAACAGACAACTTTTCAATTGACTTACTGAAATTTATTTTGACTTTCTTATTGATAACAATATACCGAGGTGGGGCTGAAAGTTAAATTTGCTGAGGTAAAGTTCACAAAATTATTGGCTTTAGATAACGTGACTTGTAGTAAACACATTCTAAATTGAAGCCTGTTTTTAATTGTTAGAAGACAAAAACAAAAAATAATAATAATAAGGATAAAGAGAAGATTTCACCTTTTGGCCTTGATGGTTTTAACTTTCATCATCTGACACATGGGGCTTAGCAATAGCCATCTCCTCTTTGCTATTTGCAATCATCTTGCACTTCTATAGAAAAAAAAAAAAGATTAAAAAACAAACATTGGTCACTTTAGAAATAAAAACACCACAAGTAACATTTAAAATCAGTACTTTCATTGTACAGCTCCCCTCAGTTTTATGCAACTGCTCTATATGCATTAAATAAAACAATGCCACCCTTAAGGTGAATTTTATATATGCATGATTCTAAGCAACCTTTTATTGGACAGTGAGGAAATGATCCAACAAGTTATGAAAGTGCTTTGTTTTATAGTGCTGCTCAATTTTAGAAAAGCATGCAACTCAGTTTTACTTTATTCACATTTTCTTCATTCTTCTTTGCTACATTTCGCACACTCTTTTCCCTTAAGCATGTTTCACACTTAAGAAGACCTATATTATAATTAGACTCAGCCATGAAATAAGATGAAAATGAACATTTAATACTTAAGCAACTATAACTTGGCAAGTGCATTCAATAAAGTTGTTTGCAACTTTAATATTGAACACAAAGTTACTGTATTTTCACGACTATAAGGCGCATATAAACGTCTTTTTTTTTCCCCTCAAAATGTGCGGCGCGCCCTATAGTGCAGTGCGCTCTATGTGTTACTGCGGACGTTGTTGAGACCGCCATTAAAGGGGGGAAGTGTGGGCGTGGATTGTGTATAAAAGAACAGGTACGTGCTTTATGCAGAACATTGTTGTCTTAACAACCCTGAAAATGGCAAAGAGACACGCCTATAAAGCACAGTTTAAACTGAAGGCTATCAGCTATGCAGAGGAACATGGAAATCGAGCGGAAGAAATGAAAATTGAACATTTTCAAGGAGGTCCGTCGTGGTGCTTTCGTTTTATGAAACAGCCGGACCAGGACTACAGTAGCTCAGCAACGTCCGGCGAATTATAATGAAAAACTGGCGAGCTTACACTCCTACTGCAGCAAACACATCGCAGACATGGACGAGGTGTCGCTCACTTTCGACATCCCGGTGAATCACACGGTGGAGAAGAAAGGGACCAGCATGGTAGCGATACACACAATGGGGTATGAAAAGGCGTCGTTTACTGTTGTGCTTGGCTGCCACGCAGAAACTGCAGCCTATGGTGATTTTTAAGTGAAAGACTTTGCCTAAAGAGACTTTTCCAGCTGGAGTCGTTATTAGGGCAAATGAAAAGGTGGCGTTTTCCACGCATCACCATCGCTGTTAATCTGTGACTCCATCTCATCTGCCCATCTCACAGCCGATGTGGAAAAAAAAAGGTGAAACAAATGAACGCTGTGCTTGCTGTTATTCCGGGAGCGCCGGGCAAGTTATGCCACAGTTTGCGGATGGATTGTATATGCTTGGGCTAACGTGTCTGTTGGCACTGTTGTTCGAGCTTTCGCAAAAGCCGGCATCATTTCCGAGGAGCCGCTTGGCACGGAAAGTGACTGAGAGCGAAGAAGGGGAATTTGCCGTGTCTGATTTAGTGCAGCTGTTTAATTCAGAAACAGAGGATGATGACTTTGATGGGTTTGATTAATACTTTGTAATAAATACATGAATAAAGAACAAACATACTCAGTTTTGCTCCCGCTCTATTTTTAAATACGCCGTAGAGGTATTTAAACGTAGTAGAGGACATGTACCTGTATATAAAACTCACGCCCTATAGTCCGGTGCGCCTTATGTGTGTGTTAAATACAGTAATGGCACACATAACTGAGATTGCGCCTTTTAGTACGGTGCGCCTTATGGTCGTGAAAACACGGTACTGTTAAAAGGATATGTTTTTGCATTGCAAAAAGGCAGCAAGCTATTTTCCTGCCTTAAGCTAATAAGGTTGATCTAGCAAAATAATGTATATCCAAGCTATGCACCGGGTGAGTAAAACATTTATTTTCCAATTGTTGTTGTTAAATAGGGTAACTTTTATCACCAATACAACCTAATTATGTTTGTTTTATGTGAGGTTGCATGTAATGCAACAACACCACCAAAAAACAGAGTGAGTACAACTTTATTTCTGAAACTTAAGCGTTTTTAAGCCCAGCATCAGTTTTAGACATTAAACTTGGTAAGGCTTTGGACTTGAGGCAGAATTCCAGCTTTGTTTAGATGCTTATTTAGCCTTGGTAGTACAATTTAAGCTCTAAATTAGAAATACAAAAAGGTCTTCCTTAATATATACATACAGTAGTAGCCATTCAAAATGTCCCTTGACTGGTCCCCTAAGATTCCTTTTTTAAACATCAATCTTTGTACCAAAATATTCTGTCGTGATTTGGGAACATTAGCATCTAAAGAGAAGTATCATCTCCTGGTCAGACCCTGTCATTCAGTGAAAAGTTGGAGTCAGAGTTAAAAAAAATATGAATGCCCAGGAGAAGGAGGGGGTCCCTCCATTCGGCTGGCATTTGCCTGGGAAGGGCAACTTTGAATGGCTGCTACTGAATATTAAGGATGGTTTCCTCACTGAGAACTACATATGAAAAAAAAAACAAGATTTTAAAGGTCAGTTGTGCTCAGCACAGATTTAAACCAAAGTGTATCAAATTCAGAAGTGACACATCTAAAGCTTACTAACCTCTGTGAGTTCCTTAATGGTATGTATGTTGGCCTGGTGAGTGACCTTCCTCTTTGCTTCCTCGATGTGGTCCATATTTAGAGACTGTGATTGAGGGACAAGGCTAGGGGGTGGTTTGTTAGTTATAGTGGGAAGAGGGGCAAGGGGTGGCATAGCGGCAAGGGCCCCCATGTTGGTCAAGGCAGCAGTCATTGTGGCCGCTGTCATACTTGCCACAGCGGCACTCATTGTGATGTTTGACATTGTGGGCATTCCAGGAATGCTTGGTAAGCCCATTGGACCCATGCTGGACATATTTGGCATTCCCATGCCCATTGGAAGAGGTAAAGGTAATGAAATCGGCGTAGGAGATGGTGTCGGGAGAGGAAGCTGGAGAATGGCTTTTGGCCGAAGACTCTCAGGAATGGGAACTCCTGCCTTGGCACACATGGCGGCAGCATTTGCCTTGGCTATTTCAAGTAACTGGTCTTTATCTGACAAGAGAATGGGAGAGAATGAGACAAAGGGAAGAGTATAAAATACAAAATAAGGTAGGTGCATACACTTTCATCTAAAAAAAATTGTTTTACCCAGATCAGTGAGCCTTGGAGGTGTCTTGCTAGCACTCCGCCGTGATCGGGACCCTGAGCGACGTTGTTTGCGGAGAATGACAACCGGAGAGTGGCTCGGTTCCCTCTTCCACCGGTCTCGTCTATCAAACGAACGACTGCGAAATGCTGGCCTTCTTCCTCGACCTCGTGACCTTGACCTACGTCTACGATCTGAGGAGCGAGACCGGGATCGCCTGTTTCTGTCTCCTGACCTGGATCTTTTCCTCCGGCCTGTGGAGCGGCTCTTGGACCGCCTACCTCTATCTGGGGACTTCGACCTCCTTCTTCCCCTAGCGTTTGGTGAACGGGAACGTTTCTTGCGAGTTGGAGAACGGGATTTTGACCGGCGGTTTCTGGCTCGTGACTTGGAGCTAGAACGCTTGCGGCGGGTGGTAGACCTTGAACGTGATCGTCGTCGTCGGGGAGGACTGCGAGATTTGGACCGTCGCTTCTTTCTTTGTGATGGAGAGACAGAGCTTCTTTTCCTAACTGGAGACTTTGACCTATGAAGGGATAAGATTTGAAAGAATTAATAACAGCACATAAAGGACCTTAGTGCCAAGATTCGTTGAAATCAAACTTTTTTATTTCTTTAGTATTTAAGAAATGGCGTATTGCAAACCTGGACAACTTTTTCCTGGATGCTGCCTTTGATGTAGAACCAGAAAGTTTCCTGCGATCAGTGGGTGAACGAGACTTGGAAAGTTGCTTCTTTGGTATTTCTGGAGATGCTGAACGTGAGGAGCTTCTCTTGCTTTTTGACACAGCTTTGATTGGAGATTCCTCATCCTCTGACCCTTCTGAGGACCCAGAAGCGTCTGAGCCACTGCCTGGTTCTCTTGATGCAGACCTTGAACTGGGAGCATGCAATTTTTTAGACTTAATGGGCTGATCCTGCAACAAATCCAAGGAACCTCTGGTTTGAGAACAGCCGTCAGCTGCATGGAGCAACGGTTTCTGGTCACCTGTTGAATGCACCCGGATAGGACAGCAAAAATCAAAATCTATTCTTTTTCTCCAAAGAAAATGCAGATCTAATGCAAATATAAATATTTTTATAAAGTAAAATTAAGAGGATTTACCTGTTTCAACACAAAGTGCTCCATTTTCTTCAACAGCTTTTTCTTCTTGAGTCTTCTCTCTAGCAGCAGGAGGAGGAAGCTTCTCTTGAATAGCAGGAGTGAGAGCCGTCTCCTCTTGAATAGCAGGAGTGAGAGCCGTCTCCTCTTGAATAGCAGGAGGGAGAACCTTTTCCACTTGAACCGTAGGAGGGAGAACTTTGGCCTTCTCCTCTAGAACCGCAATAGGGGGAAACCTCTCCTCTTGAATTGCAGGAGGGAGGGACTTCTCCTCTTGAACCACAGGAGGGAGGGCCTTCTCCTCTTGAACAAAAGGAGGCAAAGCCTTCTCCTCTTGAACCGCAGGAGGGAGGGCCTTCTCCTCTTGAACAAAAGGAGGCACAGGCTTCTCCTCTTTAACAAAAGGAAGCACAGGCTTCTCCTCTTGAACAAAAGGAGGCACAGGCTTCTCCTCTTGAACAAAAGGAGGCTCAGGCTTCTCCTCTTGAACAAAAGGAGGCACAGGCTTCTCCTCTTGAACAAAAGGAGGCACAGGCTTCTCCTCTTGAACAAAAGGAGGCACAGGATTCTCTTGAACAAAAGGAGGCACAGGCTTCTCTTGAACAAAAGGAGGCACACCCTTCTCCTCTTGAACAAAAGGAGGCACACCCTTCTCCTCTTGAACAAAAGGAGGCACAGCCTTCTGTAGAACAAAAGTAGGGACAGCCTTCTCCTCTAGAACAAATGGGGGGACAGGCTTCTCCTCTTGAACAGCAGGAGGGACAGCCTTCTCCTCTTGAACAGCAGGAGGGACAGGCTTCTCCTCTTGAACAGCAGGAGGGACAGGCTTCTCCTCTTGAACAGCAGGAGGGACAGCCTTCTCCTCTTGAACAGCAGGAGGGAGAACCTTCTCCTCTTGAACAGCAGGAAGGAGAACCTTTTCCTCGTTAGCAGGAGGGAGAACCTTCTCCTCGTTAGCAGGAGGGAGAACCTTCTCTTTATCTGGAAGAGGAGCCTTTTTATCTTTAGCTGGAGGGGAGGTCTTCTTCACTTTAACTGGTGTGTAAGATATGGATCTGGCTGAGGATGAACTTTCAGACCTCCCATCACTGGATTCAGATCTTGACCTGGATTTAGATTTGTTCAAAATCGCAGAAAATGATTTTGACCTCCTCCTACCCTTTCTTGGAGATCTAGATCTCCTTTTGCTCTGGTGTGGTGATCTGTGTCTTCGGGACAAAGAGCGTGATTTTGAACGCTTGCTAGACCTTGGTGGTGAACGGTTTCTCCTTCCAGTAGACCGAGAACGTCTTTTGACTGCTGAACGGGATTTAGACCGCCTTCGGGAGGGCGGACTTCTTGATTTGGTCCGTTTGCGAGGACTCCTCGATCTGGAGTGCCGGCTACGCTTGGACATTACAAAGGATCGAGAACGAGTTCGCCTACTCCTGCGAGCTGACCGAGATCGCGAGCGGCGGGACCTGGGTGGTGGCGACCTCCTGCGGCGAGACAAGGATCGACTTCTAGAACGTCTGCCTCCTGTACGCCTTGCTGGAGATCTTGATCTAGAACGTCCAATAGGACGCCTAGACCTAGAATGAGAACGACGAGGTTTTGTGATGGAACGTGACAATGAACGCCGACTCCCTGCACCACCTCGCCTTGGTGATCGAGTTCTGGAGCGTCTTTTACCCCCACGGGAACGTGATTTCGACCTTCGTTGTCTCCTTGGAGACCTAGACAATGACGGGGACCTCCGCCCTCTGCGCTTAGGGGATCGTGATACCTTTCTTTTTGGAGAGGGAGAACTTCTGCGTCGCTTTGGTGAATGGGACAAAGATCTCCGTCTTTTAGGAGACTTTGACTTGCTCCGAGATTTTGACCTCTTCTTTAATGGAGTGACAGACAGAGAGGTGGATCTGGATCGACGGCTAGATCTCTTCTGTGACTTTTGGAATGGAGAAAGGGATTTTTTCTTTGATTTTGGAGGAGAACGAGACTTAGAACGCGAGAGTCTTTGACTTTTCTGAGGAGTCGAAGACCGCCTTTCCTTAGAGCTTGATGGAGAATGGGTTCTAGATCTTTCTTTTACAAATTCTCCTGACTGAACCTCCGTTTCTTGCTTGCTGAGACAGGGAGATGGTGACCGACTAGGGCCTGATTGGGATCTCATCATTTCTAAGCCCTTAGAGGGAGATAAAGACCTGGGGGACTCAGACTCTTTTACCTTTTCCCCTTGTAGTAAACAAGCCTGATCTTTCAGGATTAGGTCATCCTTTGGAGTACTGCCTTCCTGTTTGGGGATTATGTCTGGTAATTCCTGAGCATTCATGAATTTGGCGTCTCCATAATTGCTTTCAATCTTTACCTCAACAGTATCGGTCTGTGTTATCTCATCTTGGCCAACAGAAGGCGATCTCTTATCAGTTTCTTTTTCTAGTTCATTGGTGCAAATACCCGTCTCATCTGTGCAGGGGACATCAGTGTCTTTTATCTCTTCGGCTTTTATTTCAGGCAATTCAGATTTTTCCATTAAGATGGGAGCTACTTGCTCCTCTTCTTGGTTGCCTTTTGGATTCAGTTGGGATGTTGGCTCCTTGAGGTCCAGTGCAGCAGCTGGAGAACATTTTCCATTGCCAGCTGTCTTAACTCCTTCCCCCTCAGAGTCAGAACCTGAAGCTGAGCTGCTGTCAGACGGCGAGCGTGATGATTTTTTTTCGTGTTTTTCATCTTTCTTTTTCTTCTTTTTTTTCTTCTTCGCAGCTTGCCTTTTATGTTTTTTGGGTTTTGAGCCTCCATCTACATCTGCATGATGTAAGAGAAGCAGTTGCAGTTAGTATTACAATAAGCATTTATTATGTTCTTTTGAAAGTACAAATCATTGGTATGTGTCAATTCTGTGTACCTATAACTGCATCTTTTCTCCTCTCCTCTTTAATTCCAAGGTTTTCAGTTCCAGCTGCTGCTGCCAATCTGGCACTAAAACAAAAAATTAAGCAAACTTAATTTCTAGGTCCAGGCAAGGCATAAACTTGTATAATAGAAACCAGTTTAAAAAAAGGCTGGAACAGAAATTTAACTAATTATGTTTTACTAAACAGTTTAAATACAGCAGTCACATTTCCATTCTTAAACATAGGATAATTGCTGATGTAAGAAACGTTAATTAATTTTCTCTTTTTTTTTTCTAATGTTTTCATAGCAGAAAAGAAAAAAATTATGTAGCAAAATAACTCATATGATGGTCTAGTTCAAAGAAAGTACCAAATTCCCCCAGCTTCGGTAAAATGTATTTCTTGATAGCTGATTGCTCTAATTCAGCCCATCAGTCATATGTCTCTCAACGTTTTCATCCCCTCAGTTAACATATAGAATATTCTTGTGCGAAAGTGAATAATAGGGCCCTTAGTCTGATGACATTGTTGTTTTATATGTTTAGACAAATGTAGAGGTTTCTCTACTGGAATAACTGTAAATTATTTAGTAATTTATTGCGGTACTCTGATATCACATGGTGGTTGATGCTCTTTTTACAAATAAAATACTTTATATGACTTTGTTGGTTCACATCATTTTGATATAAACCAAATGTTAAAACCTGGTCAATACATATTCATGAATATCCTCCCTCCATGCATCCAGTCTCTTCACAGATGTTTCTGTGAATTCCTTTACCTGATGGCTATACATTTTGGAAATTAAGACCATCCTTTGATACCATAAACATACATAAACAATTTTTTTTTCACGGTAGCCAATGAGGTTTTATTGTCAGAACTTGTGTTCTAACATTAATTCTCAGTAGCATGTATTAAACAAGGTGCCTATATGAACAACGTAAAATGTAAAGATCTTGTATATGCTACATTTAAAATGACCGATGGCTTTTGCGAAAGAAAGCCATTTCTTCATCCTAAGCTTAAGAAAAGAATATTAAAGAGCATTTTATATTGTACAATAATATAGTCTTCTTTAACCATTGTAGAAGTTAAACACAAAATGAATATACATAAACATTTTCTGTCTGACCTGGCTCTAGTGGTCCTTCTCGGTGGTGGAGGAGGCTCTGCGTCGGACTCGGCACCAGATTCTGAACTGCTCTCCTTCTCGCCTTTTCTCCTCCTCTTCTTCTTTTTGCTTTTGTGTTTTCTATGCTTCTTGTTTTTCTTGTGGGGTGCTTCAGTACCTTCCTTGGCATTCAAGTCATCTTTTTCAGGCGTGTCATCCTCACCTGTACATGTAAGGCAATATTTTAGTGATCTTTTTTTTATTGCTCAAAAAAGAAAACACAAGGAGAATTGTCAAAAGTTTGCCCTGACAGAGTGACCAAGACGTGTCATGCACAGGAATCAGCATGAGTCTTAAACACAATGCAATTTAATTTATCCTTTGCAAACCTACATTAAAAAATTCTGACCAAAAAAAGAATTTGTTTTTAAAAGTAAAATGTAATTTAGGTTGTATGAAATGTAAGATACATGAAAATTAGCGTACATTATACACTTTGAAGAGCTAGATATTACATACCTGATGGAATGTCCATTGCACATTCCATTACGGCAGCACAGAGATGTATTAGAGTGCCTTCTTAATGATCTTCAAACAGAAGTCTCTCAGTGCTGGAAAACAAAGGAAATATATTAATATGCATTATGGATAAACACAGCCTCATTACTTTATCAAGCGTTTTGCCCACGATCAAAATAAAATAAATTAGAAAGGAATCCTAGAGGAGTAAATCATGATAATCTAATCGGGGAAAAAGTGAAAGCAATTAAATGCGTTTTATTTCACATAAGATCTCTTTCTTCAAAAAGTCTGTTAATTAATTAATTTGTGATAAATTGATTTATGTTGTCTTTAGGGCTGTAACTAACAATAATTTTGCTAACTGATTAACCTGTTGATTATTTTTCGATTAATGATCGGATAGCAAAAGGTTTCTTTTCCACTTGAGGTGTTCTGAATAGAGCATATAGACAGACAAAAAGTTTTTCATCTTAAATGCAAAAGGTTTATGTGTTTTTTTTTTTTTTTTTTTTTTTTTTTTTACAATTTTGGTAAAATTACCGCTCTAAATAGGTTGTTCTGCCAGCTAAAGGTAAATTTTAGAGTCTCTATACTCCATTTAATGATAAATGATAAACTAAATTATTTGAGGACTATTTCAATAAATGAAATGCAGTTAGAACTGATTGAAATGCAATGTGAAGATTCTCTGAAGAGTCAACATTAGCTTCTCTCCCTCCCTGAATTTTATCTGAGTTTGGATAACGGCAAGTTTCCTTTGATGAGACACCACTCAAAAGAATGATGAGCCTATTCGGCTCGACATAAAGATGTGAACAAACATTTTCTCTGCTAAATGAGAACAACAGCAGGCTGAGAACAATAATGACTGATAGACATCTCCGGGAAGTCCTTCGTGTCTCAACCACCAAACTTTCTCCTGACATGTCAGGCATCCTTCGATACAAAGGACAGCATCACTGCTCCCACTGAGTGCAGTGTTCTTCACGTCATATGTGAGTTGGACTTCACACGGGATCACCTAGTATGTGTAGAGTATATGTATGTGGATTTATTGCATGTGAAATAATTAAAGAAACAAACACAGCAATCATGTGTCAATAGGTTAAAAAAGAAAGTGTGGACACCCCTGGCTTAAGGGGTGTCTAAACTGATGAGCCAACTTTTAATTTCCGGATGGTCTGCTACGTAGATGACTAATGGTTTCAAAATTTACAGCAAAACAACCAAGTATTGAAACAGCCTAAGAACATCACACTACCACAGCTGTCTCTGAAGGTATGGGGCCTTTTTTTCTAAATAGTTGTTTGCTCTACACTAATTGCAACAAAGTGCATATCTTTAAAAATGTCCACATATATCACATTGCTACATAATATTTTATGAACATGTGAGAAAAGCCTTTGAGAAGTTTATCGTCTGCTGGGGCATTTTGGCCTAGGATTCTCCCATAGATCCAACTTTTGCTCAGTTTCTTTCTTATCCTCCTGTCATGAACAACCTCAAGTTATGTAGGTACAGCTTCAGGGTTCTTAAAGGTTCTTAAAGTGGACAACACATGTTAACTTGTATAATTTTCAAACCTTACCCTTTTGACACAGGGTAAGGTTTGTTTCTATAGGTTTTACCCTAAATAAATGAATCATATCAAAACTGCAGTTAGTATTTACCAAGGATAAATCTGCACATTTCTCATCTTTAACATTTAAGAGCCTTGACAAAGAATGGGTATCTATAAGAGGGTCAATACTTTTTCACAGCACTGTATACATTGATATGTACAATATCAAGTTGTTATATTTACAATATTCTGTATTGAATAACGAGAAAAATTCAACATTTGGTATGTTGTGAGCTGCTCAGTGGCTAGGCTGTGCGATTTTGCCAAAAATCAAAATTGACATTTTATTTCGATTATCCTTTGCACTAACCACTAGCGTAATGAGCTTATCAAGGGTTGATTGTCCTGGGAATATAGTGTTTCCCATAGCCAGATGTGTATGGATCTGAACTCTAGCTGCAGCTCTTTGATCTCCTCTGTGAGGTGGGGAACACACTTGCTGGAGTGAGACAAATAGTATCTCACTCTCCAAAACCTTGAGCGCCTCTGCCATTTGGAAATTGCATTTATTCAAATTGAGATCAAATTGCGAATGCCAGAGAAATGTTCAGCCCTAGTGTATGGCCGCTAATTGGGCTCCCATCATTTGGGTTTACTCCTGACATATCTGTCCACTCAAAAACAGCAAAAAATTTTGTTATTGACAGTTTGAGCTTCTAGCACCTATAAACAAAGACGTTTGACTTTTATTAGGCAATCTATTGGCAGACAAAACTAAAAGTGTGTATGCTGGAAAAAATGTTACACTTTAGTGTCAGGATTAACAGGAACTATTAGCTTCAATTTGAGTGACACAATCTGTTAGAAAAAAAATGTATGCAAAATAATAACATTAACTCTGATCGAAAAAGATCTGCCTAATCACAATTAGCCAATATTTTTGAAAAATCGTTCATTTAGTGACCGGAGAACACATTCTCTAAATGTGTCATTTGTTGAAAGAACCACTTAGAGCAGAGAAAGATATGCATTTAGAATTCACGATTAAGACCCCTTAGTCTATCAACTTTATCTATTCAGAAACTACCTCAGAATGAAAGTTTTGGCTGCACGTGGCTTAAATTCAGTAAAAAAAAATATAACAGATTAGTCGATTTTGCAAAGCGATCAATAGTTGCAGGCCTATTTATAACGGCATTATACTTGATTTAAAAACAGCACAAACAACAATGCAAATACATGCAGCAGGAGCACGTAAGATCTGGAGCATTATAAACTGACAATGAGGCTATAACGGCATACTGATCTTAAAGAACCCAGACTGCACAACTCTATGAAGAAATTACCATTCATTCTGTATAATAATTACAGTTAATAATTTTTGTATGTCCTCATCAAACAATGTTAACACAAGCGGCACGATATACGCTCACCAACTTGCTGTTTTAATGTTTAATCAACAATCTCGACTTAATTTCGCTGATTTGAAATAAATGCATTGTGCTGGGATTAAAAGGCGTTTAACACTGTATTCAAACCCGCATCGAAAGCGGAGCTGAATGAGAAAAAAGTTGTGTGCACATCGCCAGCCCGTAAACACGTTAGATAACGTTATCCAGGCCTACAATGCCCTAGCTAACATTTATTTTCCATATGGCATCCGTTCGCTTTAGCTAAACACAACACAATCAATTTTATAATAAGAAATACCTCGTTTTCAATTTCTACAAGCTGTTTAAAGCTGTATTTTTATTTTATTTTTGGCCGCAGGAGCCAAATATCCGGCCTATGAAAAGATGCGGCCTCACGCGCCGACAACGCACATACAGCTCAAACATTTAAGCTAGTTTATAGCTGCTATGTTTTAGCTGCTACTGATGTCAACAAAGCAAACTTCTCCCTCGGTCACAGTTTTACTTGTGTAGCACATATTTACCAGTTTATGATAAAAGGCTCCGGTTGCTACAAAGGTGAGTAGCGGGACCAGATGAATGCTGGACTAAATAGCGCGAAATCAAGCAGTTGGTAAATATGCTAGCCGTTAACGTTAGCTCACACTCTGCTCCGCCATGATGGAGAGAGGTATCCCAGCATGCCATGCTTCGGGGGTTGAACGTCTGCGTCACCATTTCCAAGGCAACGCTACAGCAAACACCTACCCTCCAAAACAAGAGTTTCCACGTGCTCAATGTGTGCTTATGGTACATTTCATGGTCAAAAAACTGTGATTTAGTGTTAGAAATCAAACCAGTAGTAAATGCTGATGTCTAATTACACAGTGTCTCATTTTTATCAAAAGTCAAAACTTGAACCTTAGCATATCTAACCAAACTTAAAGGCAATAATCTAAACGAGATGTTATATGTCTTTTTTGTGTGGTTTTCTGTTGTCATCAGAAATAGTGTCAGTAGCGTTTTATTTTTCTACTCACAAAGCATGCTCTTTGTTGTCATACAACAGCCCTTTTCAGCCAAATAAAATTGGTTCTTCTTATTCATTCCGTAAAAATTCAAAAAATATCCACTGGACTTGGTTTTCAAGATTTGAAGACGTTTCGCCACCTCTCCAGGAAGCTTTCTCAATTCAAATTCTTATTCATTCATTTGTTTGTTGTTTATTTATCTGCTGGAATTCCCTTTATAGATTTATAAACCTCGTAATCATGCAGCTGCCTGCTATCCATGACATTTTTGTGATAATGGTATGAACTTAAACATTAATTGGATTTTTCTCAGAATTACAAGATACAATAGATGTAACAAATGTAGCCATGCTCAGCAGCCTATACTTAACCTCTGTAAATTATTTTGTGTTGCACATTTCTTTTTTAGGATCAAATCTAGATTCAGATACTATGGAGAATTTATTAATCCCAACCAATCAATAGACAAGGAAGGTTCTATTGTTGATTAAATAAGAGGCAGAGTGCACTTATCTAATAGGGGCCAATTTCCTTAATATCCATGTTTTTGGGTAGTAAATGCCTGCAATATGCAGCAGCCAATGATTATCAATAAAACTCATTAATGCAATGGGAGAACATGCAAATGACATGAAGAGAAACAACTTCCCTTGTTTACAGACTTTGTGTTCTATTTGAAATTAAACAAGACCATACCAATCATTAAAAGGGTCTCTATCCAAGGAAGCACAGGCAGCATCTTTGATTCTCCAGGATTCTCTGGGTAAGCATCTGACAACAGTGAACAGAAGAAACTTCCCATTTAAAAAGGAAAGACTTTTGGTATTTGAGAAAACTGGGATCACTATAAAATCACAGCTTCTCAAATACCCAGACAGAAAATAGTTTTAAATTGCTTATGAAACATAGTGGCTGACAATTTTCATACTATTAAATCAGTCACATAAACTAAAACACATCTACGTTTAGTGAGCAAAAAAGAGGCTCAAAGATCACCACAATATGCACAGAAATACATTGTTATAAACTCCTATTGCCAAACAATGGTTAGCTGCTTACTGTGAATATTGGTTGTAGATTTCACTACTTTCGCACTTGGATATAAAGCAATGTCAAGCCACATTGAGGCAATGCATGCAAATTTAATAAACTACAGAGAGAGAATTGAGGGAGTATAAATAGACATTAAAGCAAAAATGTGTGCTGTACTTTATAGATGGGCTCAAACAAATCTGCAGATTTTAAACATAAAACTGTGCTACAAAAACAATTTTAGTTAACTATCTGGGTTTCCTAAGTCCTTTTTCCACTGTGTATAGATGTGTCACCACAAAGGTCAAGGGTAGCTAATGCTACTTTTTACAGAACTCATAGATTTTTTATCACTCACGGATTAAGCAACAGGAAAAAAATATGTATGTTAAGATGTGCTTTTATTTTGGTAGTCCCGACTCCGGATGTGAAAACTCCAGTCTTTCTTTTCTTATGGAACGTTAGTGGAGTTACATAACACTCCTTACCAGTTAGTGGCGGAAATGCTCACTTAACGTTTTTGCCAAACGCCATAAAAAATTTCAATAAGAACAAGAAGAGGTTGATATAATAGATGATTTTAATGTGAAACGTTTTATTTTATGAAAAAGATAAAAAAAAAACGGAAATGAAAAGGTTTCACATCAACCTGGACGATTCTGCGTTCACTAAAGAAAGAATACCGGTATGTATTCTTTAGTCCTTCTTAGCATAATGTAGCTTTGTTTATAGCTAACTGTTTTAAACTTCTATTTAAATAACGTTCTCTTTTGACTTCCTTTTTCAAAATAGTATATCAAGAACATTATCATGGGTCGTCGATTTTCTACAAACCTACACATTTTCATTCGCAGTTTTTAAAAACTCTGTTAATTTTTATTTTACAGCCAAAGTCTCAGTTTCAGTCAAAACAAAACACAAGCTCTCCATCAACGTCCAGCACAGAGCCAGTTGCTAAATGCTCTGTGCAGCCCCTCTCCTATGCAGAATACATCGTCCAGAGTAAAGGTACAGCAGCTGCAGCTCCACAGAGAAATGTTGCCCCCAAACAGCCCATGACAGGAGGAGCTGGGGTCTGCAGTCTGCAGCCAAAGGAGCCAGAATCTGTATCATCCAGCACTGGGGGCTCTGAAAAGACCCAAGAGTGTGATAAAAGGACTGAAGCTCAACTCGAGGAGGGCAAAAAGAATAAGGACAAACTAGAGCCATCTGAGAGGAGCTGTCACAAGTCAGATCCAAGCCTCATCCAGGGTCCAAAACCAGTGGGCTCTGGGAGCAGCATTATTGTCAGTCCTCGACAGGTAAGCTTGGACTCAAGGTGGAAGGTGTCCTTTTATGTGCTTCCTTTTATCATCTCATGCTGGTGAAGATTCTTAGTCATCCAGGTCATCCCTTAGCAAAAAGTAGTATACTTGAAGTATATTTTATTAAGAATACTTAAGTATAAGTTTAGAACGTATACCGTACAATGTACTTTTAGTGTATTTGAAGAATTACTAAAGTAATACTTTTTTGAACTAAATTGGGACATTTTTAAGTTTACTAAAGTATACTTAAAGTATACTTTATTAAACAATAATGTAAACAATAGTATAGTCAAGTACACTTGAATTATATGAAGTATATGAAATATAGTTTAGAATAAGTAAACTCTACGTGCACTGCCTGATTTTAAGTATGAAATTAGTGCACTTTTAGTATACTTGAATAAACTGCTTTTTGCTAAGGGATAGTTATTCCAAAAAAGTTAAAAGCAATCCGCCAGACTTTTTTATGTTCATTAAAAGTCATTAAATAATTATTTTTTTGAATTACGGCCTGAATTGGCCATAAAATTTATTAAATGTGATTATTTTGGCAGATTTATTTTGGCATTTAAAATGCTTTATTTAGAAAAAAAAAAGTTTATAAAAACAATTTATTAAACGATATATATATTTGCAAATATATCGCGATATATTATATTGATTGTAAAGCCTATGTTCAGAAAAGAAGCTTGAGACGGAGAAAAGGCTAGAGAATGGGCAAAATGCTCATTTCAACAAAAGTGGCTGGAAATCGAGGAATTGCAGCTTGCCCACGGTAAAGATGAAGAAGGAATTTGCTGTGTATATATGGAATCAGGGGTACTTGTTAAATGCATTAAAATTATATCTAAGAGCATTAAAAAGCATTAAATTAGAGTTGCTCATTCCTGTATAAACCCTGTTCTAAGTTTGAAAACGAAGACAGGGGATCAAAACATCTCGCCTGTTCAGTCAGGCCAACAATTCCCTCTAACAACACCCTTTCAGAGGCGTAGACTAGTATTGGTATTGACGGCTTATAAAGAACTCAAACGACTCCCCTTTCGTAAGTGGCGTAGCCATTCTTCGGGTACAATTTGCATGTTTTCTAAACCAAAACAAGGCATTTTTTGGTCCTCGAACTCAACGAGCATTCTGACATTTTGAATTGAAAAAGCTTCCTGGATGGGAAGCGAAACGTCTTCCAACTTGGATTGGTTTTTAAGTTTTTTTGAATGTGCATCATCTTGTCCATTTGCTCATTTGCTTGTTAGTGAGTATTGCCTGTTATTTTTTGTTAAAGACGGAATACTGTGTTTGTTTTTGGTTTTGCAGAGGGGTAATCCCATTCTAAAGTTTGTTAGGAGTGTCCCCTGGGAGTTTAGAGAAGTTGCGCCCGATTACATCCTGGGACAGACAACTTGTGCTCTTTTCCTTAGGTGAGTGGTTTTGGAAGGCTATTAGATTAACAAGAAATGATCTGTCTGAACAAATTTTCCAAAAATAGAGCCGGAGAAAAACAAGGCAGTGGCAAAAGTTTTATTAAATATTGTGACGAATTCCAGGCCAGTACTTTTACAATTTTTCACCTCGTCTGTTGGTTGTATGTCATTGCAATATTTACTACACATTATTGGTCTCCTGTAGGTCTATGATGCTGATATGTGTATATTTGTGTGCTGTGGGTAACTACTGCAGTAATGGTAGATTCACATGGGATGATTTTTTCGGGCGACTGGAGTGACAGATTTAGCTGTTACCATTATATAGCGGCACGCAGCAGGAGTTATGTGACTGACTTGTTTCTAGCAACGTCACAGGCGTGATTTTGGCTATGCCAGCGGCACTACACCTGCAAAGGAGCTGGAAAATCTGAACTTCTGTGTATTGTCATGTTGCTACCACTAATCAGGGTCTGGAAACAGGTTGAGCAAACTCTCTTAGTGAAACGGAAAACTCAGTTTCCTTATTTCAGGTTTAGAAAACTTTAAGTAGCCTGCCTGAAGTCCTATAACTTGTCTGCTATTATTGCATATTATTATGCATTTATTAGTATTATGGTGAAATATTGGAATGTGTCATCTGCCCTTAAAAGTAAATAATTTAGCACCAAGGATGATGACTTGTTGGGTTTATGTTAATTGGTGAAATCTTTTCCTAACCCTTATTCTGTTCTGTGTTTTATTTTTCTCAATTTGTCAATGGTTTTGGGCCTGATTTGAAGCCTGAGGTATCACAACCTAAACCCGAACTATATCCATGACCGTTTAAAGCAGCTTGGAAACGCATTCACCTTACGAGTGTTGCTGGTTCAAGTAGATGTGGTAAGTAATATGGTAATGATTGATAAGACTGATACCAGTTGGTACC